CTACATTTCAGACTGGGCGTTCGGTTAGACCGAACCGATCGGTTCGGTGCTTCGGTTTGTGTTGAAATTCGGTTTCCTAAATTTCCTAACCGTTCGGTCATGTGAAAAATCAAGACCGGGGTTTCGGTGCACCGATAGTTCGGTTCGGTCCTCGGTTATAACCGAAGAGAACTGAAATATTGGGAGTCATAGAAACAAGAAATCAAGATCCAAATCCCTCAAAACAAGAAAGAAAACAATGAACAACCTAACGTGGGATTCTCCGGTTACTGCCGCCGGTGTGAAGGAGTGATGGTGGCTGGCTTGCTGCCGCATGGGAGGCATGTACGTCATCGGCCGCCACCGCGTGGGAGCCAGATGCGTCTTCGGTCGGCGCCGTGAGCAATCATGGGCCTTGCCGCCGCCGCCCCGGAGTGCGAGCCATGGGCCGACTCGATGGGATTGAGCGAGGCGAGCAAATGAGGGCGGCGGCGTTGCCGCTGCGTGAAGTTTATTTTTCTAGGGATTCCGGTGGGGATAAGTTGTGGGGCTATGTCCGTTTGCGTTGAGAAAAAGGGTGGAAAAGCTTTGTATGGATAGGTTACTGGGCTTCGTTTTGATGGGCTTTATACAATATTCGGTCAATTCGGGTAATTCGGTCAACCTGGTCTAGTGACCGAACTAACCGAAGTATGTTCGGCTTTTGAGTTTTGCCAACCGAACAAACAACCACAACTTCGGTCCTCAGTTATTTCGGCTTCGGTCCCGGTTTTTCGGCTCCGGTCTTTGGTTCTCGTTTTTTTTGCCCACCCCTACCTACATTATATTTATGAACTGGAGCTAGTGTCGTATCGCCCTAGGTTATGACTGTCTCATGATGAATACAATCCAACGAGTCACCGATCCAATGCCTACGAATTTATCTTATATTGTTCTTGCTAAGTTACTATTGTTGCTACTGCTATCGTTACTGCTACAAAATCACTACTATCACTGTTAACATTACTGTTGCTACTGCTGCTATCATCAAAACTATCATATTACTCTGCTACTATCAAGGGGCTTTGTACTACTTCTAGCAGCCTCTCCTCTGCCGAGCGCGCTCAGTAAGAGGAAGAGGAGGAGGAACCTACCGACGAGCTGGACAACTGCAATACGGTGCCTGCTGCTGCTGCACCTTCAGCGACGCTCACCTCGAACGCCCTCTGCCGCTCCAGATGACCCCTCTCATAGTGGCTGGACTACTCGTAGATCTCCTAATTCCTCACATCGGCGTCGGCGTGTGCTGCAGCCATGGTTGCGGTAAGGCTCTTTGCATGCTCGACGAGGCGCTCCTCCTTCTCTTGCGGGAACTCGATGTAGCGCGCAAGGTCGCTGACGCACTTGCGGGCCTCCACCTCCGCCTCCCTCCTTTGGGCGACGATGGTGGAGCGGGTGATGATCCCGACGGTCGACAATGGGCTGGCAGCCACAAAGGCCAATGATGGGGTGGCGGCCATGACCACCACCACGCGCCTTCGGGCCGCGGTGGCGGAGCGGGTGATGGCCACGGAGGCTGGCAGTGGGGTGATGGGCACGACGGCCACCTCCCGCCTTCGGGCCGCGGCGGCGGAGCGGGTGATGGCCCTGGCTTTCAACGGTGGTGTGGCGGCAACGATGGCCGGCAGCTACTGACGGGCAGCGGTGGTGGAGCGTGCGATGGGTGTTCCTGTACACCCAATAGGGACGCCACACACACTACACTACACCGGGGACTGCGCCGCCGCCGTGGTGTATCCTCCTAGCTGGAGCTGTCCTTTGATGACGACGAAGTGGCTGAGCGACGACGACAGACCGGTGCCATTGGCGATTGTGGGAGAAGCAGACAAGATAATCTATAGGGATGGAGGGGAAAATGCGATGCAGGCCACACCGGCCGTGAGGGTTTATATAGTAGGCTGGTAAGCATTGGTATTTTGGGGGGATTTCACCGAGTCGGGCGGGAATCTTGCGCGGGAACCTGCGCGGTTGCTCGGGAATAGGCTCACCACCGTTTGGCCAAAAGAACGCCCCCGCGCGCTGCTCAAGCTTGCGCTCGAAGCCGTCTGCGGCAGCGGGGTGACAAGACGTGCGAGAGGAGGATGAAAGAACACGTACACATACGGTTAATAAAAAAACGTTTGCAATTTAATTACCTACTATACCCCTGTCCTGGTTTATAAGTAGGATTTAACTAATAAAATACGAATGCATGTCGCCAAAGATTATATCGTTGGATTCGTATTTGAACATTGTTTCCAGTTATATAATTTTTGTAACATGCATTAACATTTTGTTGGTTAAATTTAAGGTTATATACCAACAAACGTTTGCCCATAACACACACAACTTATTCCATCACAAACAGCTCGGATGGATCAATTGTATGCGAGTGTCGCACATGCAACTCTAATCTGATTTGTGCTTGATGTCTCCGACATCGTTTGCACAATTTGTCTTATTTGCCACGTATCAGTGTACCGGCCTCTGCTCGCGTCCCTCGGCAAGCTCTGCTCACCGTTAGGCCCCGTGGCGTGCTCTGCTTGCGTCCGTCGGCGCGCTCGACTTGTGGACAACTTTTCCTTGCGTGTTCAACTGCTATATGTATATATATGATTGCTCGTCATTGAGGCGATCACGGAGTGCTCTGCTCGCGTCCCTCTGCACGCACTTTGCCAGCAGTGGGGCCTGCGCACGATCACGTTGGGAGCCCCATATGCATGCGTTGCGCCGTGCGTGTTGCCACACGGTGTAGTTACGTGCGGCACGATGGAGTTACCCATTGCAAATTAGAACTGCCATCAGGGCATGCCGATATTCCAGGCCGTCCGGCTTCCCCTTTAATTCTCGCTACCATTATAACCTTAGTCTCTTCAACCTTTCGATCGCGCCCCACAACACAACAAGCGTACTTACGATGACACATAGAGAGGGGATGTCTAGCAGCGCCAATGGAGTTCGAAGTGGAGACCCACGCGAGGGAGACAGATCTCTCGATGGTGTACACCATCGACCCAGTCATGGTGGACAACTACATCAACACCATTGAGCAGTTGCTTGCTCGAGACAAGTACAAGGTGGTCGGCATCGACCTCCAGTACACCGCCGGTCGTCCCAGCATAGATCAGAAGGTTGTCGTCGCCCAGTTGTGCGTGCACCATCATTTCCTCATCTAGCACTACTGCATGACCATAGAGCATTCCGACCGTTTCGCCAGGTTTGTCAACAGCACCGACTACAAATTCGCTACGGTGAAAACCGACGATGTAAAAGCGCTCAGGGTTACGGGCTTGGCCTGCAAGAACCTTGTCGAAATCCGTGAGCACTACAAGGTCTAGGGCAGCACGAAAAAAGACTCCCTGGTTGAACTCGCCTCGGCCATCATCGACCCATACTACGAAAAGATGAAGCAGGATGAACCTCACCTCAGATTCGCGGCCAAGAGCGTGTACACATGCTACGAGATGCATAGGCGGATCGTTGACATGAGGAAGTGCCTCATTACCCAAATCAACGAGGTTGGATCGAGCCACAAGCAGAGCAAGCGTCACAAGAAGTAGATGATGATCAGATGATCATTTATCCCAGTTAATCATGTATGTAATATATAGTTTTACTTTGGTGTGTAGAAATGTCATGTGTGTAGGCCACCTATGTAATTATGCATGTAATAGTTTATTTTGGTGTGTGGAAATACCATGGTTGTAGTAGCCACCTATGTAAGTGGATGTTTAATTTGGTTATGCAACCATGTCCTTATAAGTGTGTATATATATGTTGTTGTTCTATATGCAATCCCATCGCACAACACAAACGTCTTATTAGCAGTAATCGTCTGTGTTATTATCGGTCTTGGCACACATTTCTGATTACAGACCTGCTTGACGCGTATCATACACAATTTGTTTTATTGAACCATTTATGTTCTCTTGTCTCAACGCAAACAGTTCATCCGAGTGAACCGCATGCCGTATATCGCACACACCTTGACCTGGCTGACCGTTTCTTTTGTGTTGCCTAATCATAAACAGTTCATCCGAGTGAACCGTATGCTATATATCGCACACACCTTCATCCGTCTGTCCGTTTTTTTGTTTCTCCTCACCGTAAACAGTTAATTGAACTGAACCGTATGCCCTGCATCGCACACACAACTAAAATCTGAGCCGTGTTTGATGCATCCGTCATCGCAAACGTTTTGCATCTTTTTTGACGGTTTTTACACAACCGTTTGCGATTATTGCATCGCACACAATTTTGTCGAAGGGTCTCTGATTGTAGTGTCGCGTTAACAGCATCCTGCAGCAGTGAACATCTATGTTGCAAAAGTTTCTACGCAAAGATGAAGACAAAAAATGCAAAGTTTTTGTGCAACAAGACCTGTTTATAAAGATTTTCGCAATCAAAAGTTTGTTGCAAAGATTTTTGCAACAACTCAGTTGCGAGAATCAAAGACATCGCTTTGCCGCACGATAGCATCACATCCGATGACTCACAAGGTAGCGGCTGACACGTGCACACCCCAAAATTATTCGGAGTGGAAAATATTAGTAATAGTTTTTTTTATCTGGCCGGCGTGAAATATTCGGATTGGTTTGATTTTTCAGGGTTCGTGAAACCTCGGGGGTTATGTAGACTTTTTTTTTGGAGCGAGGGGGTTAGGCTGGTCATAGTGGGAGTAACATAGGTAGTAACATAGATGCCACATAAGCAAAAATGATGATGTGGCAAGTAGTTAATGAGGAGAGAGGCAAATAGAGTAACATAATATGTTACCATCACATAGCGGTTTCCAATGCATAATGAGTCTACAAAGTAATAAATGAAGGCAACTATTTTACCACACCTATGACACTACCCACTATGAAGGTAGTAACATAGACTAGTAACATATGTATGTTATTAGTCTAAGTTACTCCCCACTATGACCAGCCTTATGTAGCCTTCTTTCCCACTTTCCAACGTGTGCGGTGTGCTTCAGAGAAGTGTTTGGGAGAGTGCGCATGACAGGCCGCCAGGCCGGAGAACCGCCGACTTCTTCCCGATATCGATCGATCATGGCGTCGTCGGCGGAGCCGCCGCCGAAGAAGCGGAAGCTCGTCGAGGCCCAGACCCCCAGCCCCTCAGGCACTCCGCGGCCGCCCCCGCCTCTGCCCCCAGGCCTCCCCCTTACCCCACCGCTCCCCGAAACCCTAGCAGCAGCGGCGCCCTCCGCCCCACCACCTCCCCCTCAGTCGCCGCCGCCGACACCGGAGGAGCTCCACCGCAAGCGCAGCAACCGGGAGGAGCTGCGCAAACTCTTCGAGTGCTACCGCCGCATCCGCCTCTGCGTGGAGCGCAAGGACGCGCGTCTCATGCCCGAGCTCGAGCAGGTCTACCTCGCCTTCATCACCGCGTCCCGAGGTACCTAAGATCCTCCCCCAACCCTACAGGCCCCTTTGTCTTAGATGCTGTTTTTAGAAATTACCTTTGTAAGTAGCCGATGTAGTGAATCGTGAGGTGGGCATGCTTGAAACCACTTCATATTCGAAGCTAGATTTTGTATTGGATCAGTCCCAGTGGATGGCAGTATCGTGAGCCCATCATTCCATGGGAAAATGTTTTTGCTAAACATCACTTGGTTAACCTGTCCTTATGTAGCTCAAAACTCTAGTACGCTTTGGTAGATCAACAAGAGTGTTATTGGTAGGCTGTGTTTGGTTTGAGCCCATGCCTACCGTACCAAACACTTGCATAGCGAAATGTCATGGTTTTCCTTGCCCAAGATTTGACAAATGCTGATAATTTTTTTAACTAGATTGGTAAGGTGCCGTGGACATGTCAAAGCTTTGGCAATCATCCAAACAAGGACCAAAACTTTGGCCATGGCCAACATTAAATTGGTAGGATTCGTTCTGGACACGAACAAAACATACCCAAGGCTGAGAATGTGAGATCGGCACTGCATAGATAAAAAAAAGTAAAGAAAAAGAAATCGGCACTGCATCGATCTAATACAGAGTTCGCCGCTGGATACGCGCTTTAGATGCGCTGCTGACACCTGACACTATCAACATCAGTGTCTTGGTTCTTGGATGCATGGTTGTTCGATATGCCTCCGTGAAGTTGTGAACCATAATTTATTTATGAAAATCTAGCAAATACACAACTTAAATTTCTGCGTCATTCTTAACTAATGTTGGAAGCAAGAGTGGATCCATCTTTGATGGAAAGTTGGAGTAATCCCATTGAAGTTTCTATTTTAATTATTCTGTGTGTCATGGTGTTGCCAAGTCACCCCTGAGGCAGGGTACAGAGTTTTACCCTCGACTTGCCAGGGTTAGGCACGCCAATCCTAAGGTCAAAAGGAGCAATATTTAGGAGGAAATGCTGTATTATCTTTTTTAGCTGATCAGGAAGGCATATAGCCTCCCCCCTCTTATTTAGGAGGAAATGCTGTATTATCTTTTTTTA